TAGACATGCTCCTAGAACTTAGCTTATCCTCGTCTGAATTTTCTGGAGTAGACCTTTTACCAGGTGGCTCGCTTATTGACTTAGAATATGCCGATGACATTGTCCTACTTGGTGAAGATGCTGACAAAATGCAGAGTCTTCTGACTACCCTAAGCAACAATGCAAGCATGTTCGGGATGCGGTTTTCCCCCTCGAAATGCAAAATGTTGCTTCAGGATTGGGTTTCATCGGCACCTGAACTAGTAATAGGGAGTGAAGTGGTCGAACGTGTAGACCGCTTCACTTATCTTGGGAGTCTCATCAGGGCTGATGGCCTGGTGACTGACGAAATCTCAGCACGGATACAGAAGGCTCGATTGGCTTTTGCCAACCTGCGTCACTTATGGCGTAGGCGAGATATCCGTTTGCTGACTAAAGGACGAGTGTACTGCGCAGTGGTTCGCTCCGTCTTACTTTATGGCTGTGAAACATGGCCAATGAGAGTAGAAGATACTCGTCGGTTATTGGTTTTCGATCATAGGTGTCTTCGAAGCATTTCTCGTATATCGTGGGACAACCGAGTGAGCAACGCTGTTATTAAGAAACGGGTACTAGGTAAGAATGGCAGATCAATAGATGAAGTGGTGAAACTTCATCAGTTGACGTGGTTGGGACATGTGTTGCGTATGCCTAACCACCGACTGCCTCGTCGAGCTTTGTTTTGTAGTGTTGGAATAGGTTGGAAAAAAGCTAGGGGCGGCCAGACCAAAACATGGCAGAAATCCATGAAGTCATTGACGAGTGGTCTGAGCCATGTCGGTAATTGTCGACTACCTGGTTGGGGTCCGCGAGATGATAATAATCGATGGTTAGAGACCTTGAATGACATGGCTCAAAATCGTCGGCAATGGCGCCAGTGCACTTATTCTTTGTGTTCTCTCAAATCCTAAGCTTCTGGATTCTTCAACACCTCTAGTTTTTACTTTCTAAACTTATCTCATTGAATCATACTTCGTGAATAATATATTCTTATTCTAACGTCTACGATTACTTCTAATACCTCTACTACCTCTTCTACTATTGGATTTGAATTGACAATTATATCTCTGTGCTGATGTGGTATGGCGACATGAACTGATGTACTTACGTACGAAGTTCTACGTTGCAACTGACTGACTGAGTAGTAGAGGTAGTAGACGTATTGGCAGAAATCGAAGATTTTAGGGTTCGACGATATTATTCAAGTAGAATCTAGTGAAATAAGCTTAAAAAGAGAAACACTAAGGTGATTAACAATCCAGAGGATTAGAATTTGAGAGAATGCAAACAATGGATGCACCTGCGCCATTGCAAACGACTGTGGGTCATAATCGTCGGTTACGATTGTCTTGCAGACCCCATCCGAGACCTATATTTGTTAACTTAACTCAATTCAGTTGTCAGTGACTTCATGGATTTCTGCCATTTTTTCGTTTGGCGTACCTAAGCTTTCGTCTAGTGTACCCCTACACCAGAAAATAATGCTCGTCGAAGCCGTCGGCAGTTGGGCGTACGTAAGACATGTCTCAACCACTTCAACCGATAAACATCATCTATTGATCAGCCATCCTCACCTAGTACCCGTTTTCTAAACACAGCATTGATTATTCGATAGCCACAGGATGTACAAGAAATGAGTCAGGGACATTTATGCTCGAAAACCAGTAAACTACGAATATCTTCTACTCGTACTGGCCATCTTACACAGTCATTAATTGGGACGGAGAATCAAACTAGCAGCTTTTTTCCAGTACAATATGGAATTTCCAACAGGGAATAAGTTTCAATAAGTCCCTTTTTTAATGCATATTGCCTATCAGTGTAAGTTTGTACTTTTTGAAGCGACAAATTCGTACACAATTGATATATGCACGCCTGAATAAAATGTGAAACTAACAGACAGATTTGATGTGTTAAAAAACTAGTTGAAATATGATGCGGTTAGATGTTAGGAAAACAAGTAGCTCAGTCAAAATAAATAATAATAATAATAATAATAATAATAATAATAATAATTAGTAAAATAACACAATTATGTTTATTTACCTGGATTTGATTACTAGTCAATGATTGTTGCATTGTTGCACCAGTTAAATGATTTACCCCACCAACTCCTGTCAACCCAACCGGCTTCGATTGAGCTGCTGCCGCAGCTGCTGCTGACATCGCAGCTGAAACCACAGCAGCCAAGGCAGCAACAGCAGAAGCCCCACCAAAGTTCTGATTATGCTGTACATTCGTCGTCGACGATGACGATAAAGACGGAGCGGAAAGTGAATTATTCGTGAGGAATGCCGACGGTAGCGATGCACGAATATTCAGTGCTCCCCCAATCGATGATGATGATGATGGTAGAGGTGGTGGTGGCAGTGTAGGCGGACAGTTTGTAAATTGTTGAAGTGGCGAAGGGAAATTATGATTCGTCATAGTACTACTACCAACATTACTACTACAACTACTACCATTATTGTTAGTAGTAATAGAAGTAGTAGTAGTAGTAGTAGCAATAATACCTGTACTATTATTAAGATTGTTTAATCTATTAACAGGTCGAGGTATACCCATAGGAAGTCGATTAGGAAACAGCGTTGATGAAGATGATGTTTGTACAAGTGAAGGCGGCAATGGTAAAAGGCCACTAGTTTTTTGATGATTAATAAAAATATTATTTGGTTGTTGTTGAGTTGTTATTCCATTATTACTACTACTACCACTGGTCGATGACATCATTATTCTTGGTGATGGACCTAATAGCGACATTTGAGGCGGTAAACCAGTTGTTGCTGTTGTTGGTTTATCGATTATTGAAAAAGGTGGTGTAGTAGTAATAGTAGTAGTAGTAGTATTGATAGTATTGGTTGGTTGTACATTATGTACTACAATACTAGAAAGTTGAGATGTTTCTTCAGTGAAATTCATTTGATTTGTTAATAATGGTGTAATTAGCTCTGAATGTTTGACAATATCATTTTTAGTTAACATTGTATTAGTGATAGTATTATTATTATTATTATTATTGTTATTATTAGTCACTGAAGTAATGACAACCGTTGGCCCAGTTCGATGCCGATGATCAATATGAGCTTGAAGATCACGATGACTGAGATAAGTACGCCGGCAACCATCACTTTCAAAACACATAAATATTCCACCAACTAGACATCGTTCTACAGTTTGTACCGATTTTTGACATCTAATTAGAAAAAAAATATATATATATATATATTTATACATTAAATTATCAAGAATACATTATTTATAGGTAAATAGAAAAATTTAGATTAACTTTTCATTAAATAATAGTTTCATGTGACTATTCAATGAAGAAGCATAGCTGTTATTACGTGGACGTGGTCAGCGGGCATGCCTATCACGATGATGCAACATATGTTTTAGACAGGTTGATTAGAGAACAATAACACTAAAGGCAGCAACTGAAAGTCTGAGGACGAAATCGTACTACTGAATGTAGAGGGGGATATGACAGAAGTAAGGTCTTTCTGTCGGACAACAAGCATCTACAGTGATGCTGCCTTCTCACAAGGAAGGAAGGAGTTTGAAAGGGTCGATCCTGAAAATGTCTCAAACTCACCTTACCTCACGGATTCTCATCTCCAGTGATAAGGCATTTTCAAGGACGGAGCTAACAAGTCAACTTCTTAAAAAAAAGGCTGTGAGTGACCGGCCTTAAGCAGTTCTCCTTTGAATTCTGCGGTCACGCTCCCAGGTCACTAATACTAACGCTAATCGAACTTCGTTTTCAGGTTCCTCAAGAAATACCTTTCCACGGTGTAGGAAGCCGGGAAGTTATATCTGCCCTCATACCAATAACAGCTGACCGAATGAGGGGTGTAAATTGTGTGTACGCTCTCTACTGAAACATTATTGCTCAAATAAATTAAGTGAGTTAATGTGACTTCCTTAAAAAATATTGAAGCGAACTATAATCGAAAGAAATACATGTTTATATCTTGCGATATATCTGATAACGTCTCACGTTTTTGCGTTTCACGACGTCCACGATTGATGAAAAGGTGACAGCTCTATGCAAATCCACGATTCCACGTCAAAATCTAACTGTTTGGTCCAAACGTTATCGAATAACGCATAATGTTGTTGGGGACGTCAGAACTCAGTTGGAAAAGATCCTAATTCTGAATTTTTTATATTTTCGCGCATAAGACGCTCCGTTGACCTTCAGCTTTCATTTCCCAATCGGAAAAATCCTTGACTGTCATTCGTTGATGGATTATTTTAGTACTCTATTATGTGGCTATCATTGAATAAATACGCTTGATTTGTGTGCTTAGCAACTTCGAATTTTCTAGGTGCCTTTACAATACATCCTCTACGCCTTATCAAGACTTCTTCCTCTAGTTAGCAGAGCCTGGGACAATCGGATTAAAATAGCCTATCGTGTCACTGCATCGTTGATCGTCGTTCCGTTTACTGAGTAAGGTGAACTCGTAATAGCATTCAAGCATATTAATTGACGAGCTTATCAAATGTGGAAGCTGATGAGATGACAATCGTAGATGCCGAAGCCATCGAAATCAACAAATGGAGCATAGAAAGTCACCACACATCCTTTTATTTTGTCATATACCACAAGTTTATAGCTTCTACCAAAAAAGTCCAATTCACTCTCTTTAATATGAAATAAGATGTCTTTATAAAAGCCAAAAGAAAAATAAATATCTGGATGGTAGACCTTGGCAAATTGTGAAAACAATGACTACAAACCAACAACCAGTATACATAGGATTCAGATTCCGAATGTTGTATGAACTTATTTCAGTAAACCCCGACCGTAGCTGCTACCTTGACGTGTTGGTCGGGCTTGCCTATCGTGATGACCCAACTGAGCTATATTGGCTGGAACTTAGGTTCCTGAATCTTCTACCATGCCACGCAGGTCGATTGGAGAACGATGAAACTAAGAGCAGCTACCCAAGGTCTGAGGGCGAAGTCGTACTGCTGACTACTGCAGAGGGGTGTGACAGCAGTAAGGTGTTTCCCTCGGACAACCAGCATCTGCAGCGATGCTGCCTTCTCACAAGGAAGGAAGAGTTAGAAAAGGTCGACCCTAAAAATGTCACACCTCACCCTACCTCATGGATTTCCGTCTCCTTGGGTAAGCGTGCTCACTAAGGGCCTTTATAAGAGCGGAGCTACTACTCAAAAAACCCTGCATAAAATGGTCGTGCGTGACCGGCCTCAAGCAGTTGTCCGTTGGGCTCTGCGGTCACGCACCCAGGTCTCTAAAACCAACACTAATATATCTTTCTTTTCAGGTCCCTCAAGAAACAACCTTCCACGGTGTGGGCAGCCGGGAAGTGACAACCGCCCTCATATCCGTAACAGCACACTGACTGACTGTTTCACTAGTTTATGAATTAGGGGTATTTGAATCATAGATTTGAAAAGTAGTCCACCTAGTAAAGCATCCAACATCTACCTGCGCCCCTATATAATAAATATCCTATCTACACTTATTCTGCTTGAAAACTAACTAACATCAAACAATAAAAATATTGGTATTCAGTGCTTATTTACAACTGTTAGCTAAATAAATAAAAAAATCAGAAAAAAACTATTGATATACATGAAAAAAAGTACACATGTCTATACACACACACACACACAGAATAAAAACCCAGCTTACCTATTACATTTTTTCATAAGATTCATAGCACATGTATAACACAAGACATGTTTACACGGAAGCTAATTTAATGTGAGGGAGAGAGAGAGAGAGAGGAGAGATTAGAAAAAAATAAAGCGACAAAATGCAAAATCAACACCTACCAAACGTCCATAGATGACAATTGGTAAATCACAAAGATCACAGAAATGAAACACTGTATCTTTGGCTTTTTCACCAACTAACCAAACCTAAGAGAGAGAAAAAAAAACCAAAACGAAATGAACAAACAACAGATGAGATCGAAATAATATAAGATAATAAGATAAAATAGAAATTCAGTAAATAGACACAATCATTATCTGTTCTCTCTGAGCCGCGACACCATAACATCCACCAAGGTGTCTGTCTTTCCTGCTCACTTAGTCTACCTACTTGAGCATTGAAGTCACCAGCCAGGTGGGATGAGTTTTCGGGCATCCATCAGATCGATGGATGCTGCTGAGATTCACGACTTCATTCTAGCCTTATGGTCAACCTTACTAGCAGAGATCACTGCTGTTTCCACAGCTTTTTTGATATCACATTCCAACCTGCTTCCAGATGGGAATCGCTTAAATGATCGCCTAACTCTCTTTCTAGTTGTTCCTGAAATATATTCCTCGCCTTATTATCATTAAGTAAAACCCTAAGAGGCTTTCTTACGGTGTCTTTCCTACGTCCAGTAAGCTTCAAACAGATACGAGCTCGCAATAGGGCATGATCTGAATCTAAACATGTGCCCCAGAACGAGCGACAGTCTTCTATTGAACCCCTCCATCGGTGGCTGATGGCGATGTGATCTAGTTGAGTCCAACGTTGAGACGACTTTGGAGGTCGCCAGGTCAACAGATGCTTTTCCTTATGCCTAAAGTTAGTGTTTGCTATGAATAGGTGGTTATCTGAGCATACTTGCAACAGACGGTCACCATTGTCTGTTCTCTGAGCCGCGAGACCATAACATCCACCTAGGTGTCTTTCCTTTTCACTTAGTCTACCTACTTGAGCATTGAAGTCACCAGCCATTATTACTATATCAGAGCGCCTAGCTTTTTGGAGGTCCGTAAGCTTTCTGTAAAACTCATCTTTAACCTCGTCTGGACTGCAGTCACTGAAGGCGTAGGCTGATATGACGAAGAGGCAACGACGAGTGTCCCTATTCTTTCGAATCCTTACTGTCCCGTTTAGTCGGACGGCGCACAAGCGACTATCTACAGGGATCCAGTCAAGGAGATATTGTTCAGCCCTACGACTCAATACTATACCTACACCAACGAGACCCCTGGAAGCAGCATCAGGGCTACCGGATACACAAAGAGTAAATCGAGCTGCTTCTTTATCTTGACATGGTGAAGTCAAGTGAATGATGCTACTCGGATCCTGTATGCGCGTTTCGGAGACGCAGCACTTATTGATGCCGCGAGATTTTAGGTCCTAGCTAATGAAGCTTGTTGCCCTATTTGACACAATGTCCGTACATTAAATGCTCCAACATGTAGTCTAGAACGGGGTTTCAAGAGACCAGGAATGACGTTTCGTGAACTCGCATCGTTTGCATTAGCGGTGCAGTCAGATAAGGGAATGTGAGTAGAGTTAGTTGTGGAGAGAAGAGAGGTATGTGTGGGTGTAGGAAGGATTTGATTTCGACCAATTCGGTCTCTCGTGCTGTTACGGGTATGAGGGCGGTTGTCACTTCCCGACTGCCCACACTGTGGAAGGTTGTTTCTTGAGGTATCTGAAAAGGAAGGCAGATTGGCGTTGGTCTTAGAGACCTGGGTGCGTGGCCGCGGAGCCCAACGGACAACTGCTTGAGGCCGGTCACGCACTGCCTTTTTATGAGGTCTTTTGAGTAGTAGCTCCTCTCTTGAAAGCCCTTAGTGGGCACGCTTACCCAAGGAGAAGGAAATCCGTGAGGTAGGGTGAGGTGTGACATTTTTAGGGTCGACCTTTTCTAACTCTTCCTTCCTTGTGAGAAGGCAGCATCGCTGCAGATGCTGGTTGTCCGAGGGAAACACCTTACTGCTGTCACACCCCTCTGCAGTAGTCAGCAGTACGACTTCGCCCTCAGACCTTGGGGTAGCTGCTCTTAGTCTCATCGTTATCCAATCGACCTGCGTGGCATGAAAGAACATTCAGGAACATATATTTCAGCCAATATAGCTCAGTTGGGTCATTACGATTGTGAAGCCTGACCAACACGTCAAGGTAGCAGCCTCGGTCGGGTAAACAATATTATTATATATAAACAATATGTCCGCCACCAGAAGATAGCAGGATTTCTCTGACAGTGGATATATATACGCATGGCCATATGGGAGCAAATGGAGAGGGAGAGTGGACTTTCACCACTTTCGACCGTACCAGGGTAATTGGAGACAATTCTAAAATTACAGTCTATAGAACTATTGATTCTTGATTACAGCCAGATACAAAAAAGAACTTCATACGTACGTACATCAGTTCAGGTTGCCATACCAAATTAAGACAGAGATACAGATTTGGCAACTTGAAATCTCATAGTAGTCAGGCTAGTAGAAGTATTAGCACTAATAGGGTTCGAAGATATTGTTAAATTATAATCCAGTGAAATAAATTTAAGCAGACAAGAAACGGTCATGAGGAATTCAGATTAGAATTCGAGAGAACACAAACAATAGATGCACCTGAGCCACTGAAAACTACTGTAAGCTATATAATTCAAAGTCGCTAACCATCGGTTGCGATTGTCTGGTAGTCTACATCTACTAACACGGCTCAATGCACTTGTTAGTGACTTCATGGATTTGTGCCATGTTTTGAGCAGATGGTCGTCAACCATAATAAATGTTTATCAGTTCAACTGATAATGATAAGGAGTGAAGCAGTTGAGCGTATTGACCGCTTCACTTATCTCGAGTCTCATCAGTGCTGATCACCTTGGTGTGTGACAAAGTCTCGGCTCAGATACAGAAAGCTTAATTGGCTTTTGCCATCACTTGCATCACTTATAGCGTAGGCGGGATATCCGTCTACCAACCAAAGGACGGGTTTACTGAGCGACAGTTCGTTCCATCCGATTTTACAGATATGAAATATGGCCATTAAGAATAGAAGATAATCACAAGTTACTAGTATTACATCATCGATGTCTTCGATGCCTTACTCGTGTATCCTGGGACAACCGAGTAAGCAATGCTGTCGTTAGGAAATGACTTTCAGTCGAGGATGGCAGAACAATAAATGAAGTATTGAAACTTCATCAGTTGAGGTTGTTGGGACATGTGTTACGTATGCCTAACCACCGACTGCCTCGAAGAGCTGGCACCAATCCATGAAGTCACTAACAAGTGGATTGAGCCGTGTTAGTAGGTGCAGGCCACCTGGTTGAGGTCCGCGAGACGAAAGTCATTAATGGTTATAGACCTTAAACGATATGGCTCAAAATCTTTTGCGATGGCGCAGGTGCACCCAATTTTAGTATCCTCTGAAATTCCAATCTTAAGAATTCCTCATCCCCTCTATCTTTCTCTTTCTTAATTTATTTCACTGAAGTATACTTCTGTTATAGGAATGTCCAGCCTTAACCTTCTCTGTTACCGCTAATACCTACCAGTTTCAGCAGCTACGATGACTCTAACCAACTAGTCTGCACCTACTTGACACAGCTTAATCCAAACATAAATAACTTCAAAAACATTTCATGCTTTCACCCAATCGTTAATGGTCTTATAGAAAACTATAGCCATGTAAATCACCATTGTGTATTGAGGTAAGTATTGGCTGAGCATGAGTATGATTTAAAAATTCAAAATATGAATTACGGTTATTGAACTATTTTACACCTAGATTCAGTGGTTTAATGTTCAAAAACAAACAATTCATAACCCTGAGTTTAGACATTATATTGAAAATAACACGTGATTTTTTCCAAACAATCCATATAAATGAATCCAATTTCACCCCCTTATATCCTGGCACAGTCAAGAATGGATAAAGTTCGCTCTTCCTTTCCAAATGCTCCCGTATTGCCATGCATATATAGTCAATGCCAGAGGACCCCTGCTAAGTACCTTCTTGTGGTGAATATCTGGTTTACGAAATCGTAGGGCCACAAACGAAATGTCCGGCGCTTTAACAGAGTCGATGGATAGAGAGGACACACCCTGATACCAAAACCAATGGTGCATATGAGCTTGATGACAATTTGTGGGGTAAATAAATATTTAAGTGCCCTTTTGTACCAATGTTTATACCTTTAAGTAATGAAATAAAAAATTCTTGTCAAGAAAATATCTGTCAGTCAGTCAGTCAACTACAACGTAGAACTCTGTATATACGTACATCAGTTCAGGTTGTCATATCACATTAGCACAGAGATGCAATTATCAAGAAAATATCCGATCAATCGACACAATGAAACGGTGGAGAAAATTTCTGGTCATAATCAATACAATTTAAAAAAACAGACTCCAGATAAATACTTTGTACAATACACAGCATTATTATTAGTAGTATGAAAAAGGTTACTCAGGACAGAAAAAATAACCATTATACAAATATGTACTTATGAAATAAATAAAGTTGAAAAGCATTCATTAAAATAGAAATGACAACTTAGAAAGCGTGATGTCGTAATCTAAATGGAACTAAACATTGATAATAATAATCAATAAAATAATTCAGTAGATACTTACATTATTTGTCCAGTGTGCACGTTTAGAACGATCTCTTGGATCTTTGAGACATTTACTACTTGGTGAAATATTTCTTGAATTAACACTGCGTGATCGTGAACGAATTGAGTGATAAGAACAACTTCTTGTTCTACTTCTAAAAAATAATTTTCTTCGACTACTACGATAAGCAGATCTTGATCTAGAACGACTAGCAGAACGTGAACGTGATGAATAAATTGATCGACCACGAGAACGTGATCTGGACCATGACCTGGAATGTCGACTACCAGAATGCGAACGAGAATAGTTGGAATGACTTTTGGATCTAGTACTTCGACGTGAACAGGAACTGCGTCTAGAAAATGATCTGGTTGCTGACCGGCTATGGTTTGAATGTGTGTAACTTCGTCGAATACTGCCACTTCTGGAACGACTACGGCTTGCACTATGAGTATGAGCTGTACTTCGGCTTATAGACCTTTGAGAACCAGGTGAACAAACCATTACAAATTGACCAAAACTTTTTTAATGTCTGAAAGAAAAACAGATAAGGTTAAAATAAACATATGGTTTATACTCCTGCGTAGATTAAGTTTATCGTACCAGACACTTGATGTAAACTCATGGTGGAGAAAATCTGCAGCTCAGAGAACTAAACACCACCACGATGTAAACTCATATTCAACGCCCTTAGCGATAGTTGAATTTGTGAATTATGTTTTCACTTCAGCTTTCACCAGCTGGAGCTTTTTGTTGGTGGGTACCGGTGTATTCATCTAAACCGTTTCTTCCGCGTTGGATTCGTTAATCTTTTAGACGTTTTGATGCTTTAACTACCGTTTTCATACATTCTTCTATGTACTCTAGTAAAGTTATCATTTCTGATTATACACAACTAGTTGTTTTAAATTTTCTTGTTTTATCAAAATCATACTGGTCATAATGGTAGATCAAAGCCATCGATGTAGAGCATCACTGTACGTCTTCCCTAGTGAAAATGGTATAGTGTAACAACTGTAAGAGATGGTCCCACAGAACGTCTACCAATCTATTTCCCGCAGCGTAGAAATGCTATTCCAAACCTACTTTACACTGCTTGCGTCGACGAAGTAATTCTCGTAGATGACTTTTTGGCGCTACTAACTCTGACGAAAAATTTACCGAGTAACAATAACAAATTAGTGAGTTTGACAGCAGATGAGAAGAAAAAAACTAGTATGATTGCTAGTGCTGTCAGCTACGCTCTTACGTCTAATTGAAAGGTTGGAAATCTACACTAATGTTACGCGGAGTTGTAATAAGCCTCTCATTTTAAGGACAAGTGAATTACGACGCCTCGAAAAAGCATCTAATTTAAACACTGCTGACGAGAGGAGTGCAACTGTACTATTTGCAGAGAGCAGAACTCCCTCACAAGAAAAGTTGGGTGCTATAAATTGATGGATCCATCAGAAAGTCAAGACAAAAAAGCAATTAAAGTAAGGCTTCTGGCGGTTAGTAGTAAGAAAACGACAAAAAGCATCAACTTTCAACAATGCCAAACCCATCTCTAGTTTTAATACTTCTACTACCTCTACTACTATGGGATTTGAAGTGACAATCGCTTCTCTGTGCTAATGTAGCATGACAATCTGAAATGATGTACGTACCTGCAAAGTTCTAAGTTGTAACTGATTAACTGAAATCCCTAGTTTAGTTATTTAAGACCTGGAAGAGTCCAAAAGAAAATGATCCGGTCAAATGACATGCTGATGATCTGCTATCAGAAATGTATTGCCGTAAGCTTTGAGAGCAAATATTACAAGAGTTAACAAGACTCGATGAGTTGGAAGTGAGATTCAAACAGGGAGGACATTGAAGTTAGTACTAGAAAGTAACGAAAAATGGACGGTATAGCGAAAAACACACAATAAACTTGTAATCTAAACATTTTTATCCAGTTAGAGCAGTAACTTGAGGATTGACTTAAGTAGAAGATTGATCTTACTGAGTTAAAAATTCGATATCAGAAATGTGAAAGCTGAAGTAAGAAAGTATTTCGTAAATTCAACTAGTGCTAAGAGTTAAATGAGCTCAAATAAACTTTCAATAAGACAAACGCAACAGAAATCTGGTACCTTAGACGTTGAAACATCCATTTGCTTTTATTTGATAGCGTTCTAAAGGGTTTTATTACACCATACTTTCAACACATTTAGAAAGAATCATCGAGAAAGTTTAAAAACTACGACTCCATGAACTTAGCATAATCCCGTGTTTAAAACGAAGTGGTCAATGACCGGAATGGCTCACCCAGACAAGCTGTATCAAAACTATCAGTGAACACTTTCAAGTATAAGCTGAATGTACACCGGAAAACAAGCTGCGGGGATCATCAGATGCTCACGAACCTACTATTCTTATAACGGAAGACTAGAGTGGACTGTAACTCCAGCGTTTAGTAGCTTTGCGTTTAGCATGCAGATACTTTGTTTGCTGTGGAAGTGTGAGTAGTATGTTATCTGGAAAGGGACCGGACAAGAGAAAAAGCGAACCGACGACTCAATAAGCATAAAGGGTGCACTTACATTCAACGGAGAAAGCAATGAACAACAATTATAAATAACACAAGCATGAGATTAGGACATAGTGATAAATGAAATTGGAAGTGGATAGAATAGGGTTCCGAATAATGTACAGCACAAACGTACCGCACTTTTTACATCTCCCGGTACTTTCAAACGCTCAATATCTTCATCAAGACGTGATACAAATCACTCGATTTCTTTGGGCTGACTTCTTGTTGCTTCAGTAAGATTGCAGTTATTCGGTTGCTTCCAATGGATGGTTTTCTGTCCGTGTTTTGCTGAAATCTATGAATAATACGTCAAAATCTTCAGCTTCTGTCTCATACCCTCTCGTAATTGTTTAGTTAAGCTTAGTTAGGCTTATTCGGAAGCCTGTGTCATTCAGGAAAATACAGAAGGTATAATTCTACATAGGTTAGTATGCCGTAAAACATACGTAAGCTGCTTCAGTTTGATGCTTTAACTAACTAGATAATATAGAAGCTTTGTTCTGCTAAGCAGACTGACTTCCACAAGCAAGTTATAACAGACTCAGGTACGTGATTTTTCTCGAGGTAAACAGTTACACTGTGCCCAGTATGTTTACTGGTGATGTATCTAAAACGCTAAAGATGATTTTTAACCGTCAAAATCTTACTACGTTTAAGAGAGGTTACTAAACAACGAAGTTATGATGTAGGCCTTTGCCAACAACTACTTCAGCCTTACGAGCTTTCAAACAATGGCAGATACTCTGCTGTTTCCTCATTTCTAAACAATCTGTCACAACAAACTTCCCCCTTGGTACGTGATACCGACAACCGCCCCTTCTGTACCACCTTCTCGTCAACACCGGTGCAAAAGTTGGTGTTCTTCCAGCGTATATAAACGACCATTTTCATACTCGAGTTTTCGGCGTAGAGATAGAAAACGGAAAGATGATGCTCACTTCACATGTACTTTAACTTCGGTTAACGTGAACCTACTCACCAGATTAAACATAAAATCGATTCGTTATTCGAACAAGTACTCAACAAGTAACCAGAAAAGTACTATTCTATGCTACATCTCATTGGAGCGCTTGCATTCTCAAAAGCCTGACTACTAGCTTCAGGAAAACTATAAATAGGCAGAAGCCGGTCCGGCTTTATGGTAGATCAAGGAATTACCCGGTCAACAAACAACCCCGGATAAGTAACCGGAGACTGATGTCCAGTCAGTGACCTCAAACAATAAACACATTCAATCAATACCGGTTGCCGCATATTAACGGCTTGAGAAAGAGTTTTCGAAGTTTTTCATCATGTACCTATCGAAAAGTAAGAGAATGTACATAATAACTGGATGAATAAGCCTCAAGCAGCCTGCTTACAAAATTACCTTGCACCACAACTTTCCTGGAAAAAATATCTCATTCTTTCGTAAATGTGCTAAACGAAAAGAGATTTAAAACTCTTGAACACCGTTCTGATAGCTGTTTATTTAGGTGTCCTTTTAAGATTTATCGACCATAGAGCTTGAATTAGCTGTCAGTAGAACGATATCCTCGAAGGGTATTTACTATACGGTCTCTTGTGAGAGTTATTTAACGAAAATAAGTGACACGATGTTAAGTTAGGTGCATTCCAAGAGATCTAAAAGCGCCACCTGCTCACCAGTAGCATTTTAGTGGCTGGCAACCAGAGTTCAAATTTCACAAACAAATGAATAAGTTATGAAACAATTCTTCCAACTCACTTCCGTATATTATTCGGAGGTAAACTTCAGTATTCACCAAGTTTGCTGCAGTTATTTGTTCGTCATTCAGATGGATCATAATAAGAGATGGAGGTAGGGAGCGTGCAGGTTAGTTAAATAAAACCCAAACATTTGATGTAAGTAAATAGTATGTGAAAATTCGGATGCAAATAGAATATCCAGTATCCAATATCCATCCATGAGCTAGTGTAAACCAATTGATTTCTTTGCGCTCGATTCTTGTTCTTTCAGTACGGTACATTCTCTCTTAACGTGAACAGGTGATTGCATTATCGCTTTGAGACCTTTACTTTTATTTATAAAAAGTACTGCATGTGGATCGTAACCAGTGCATTCAAATGCTGCCGTGAAATTTTCAAGCAACATATTTGTAAACGATTGTTAATGCATGTGGTCACAATTAGACGAACATTTTAGGACACAAATTGGTTAACATCGCACAAAATTGTACATAATGAGTAGGAGTCTAGAATGTACAAAACAATAATCAGCACAAAGTATTACTGCAAATCCAAATATGTGTATTTAAAGAATAGAGAAGGAAACTACATAATGATCTTTCTAATGACATTTTCCAAATACGCCGCACCTCTCGGTGACGACGTACGGTCCCTCCCACTTCGGGATCAGCTTACCTGACCCTGACCCTCTTCCTGTGGTATATTTCCGCTCTAGACACGACTATCCCACTCAAAACGTCTTTCAAAACAGTTACTCCTTATATCTCCTACAAAGCTAGGGCTAAACTACGTCAACTAAAACGGGCGTATTGCAAATCTAAGGACTTCAGCATCCTGTACCAAATTTACGCTTTACTTGACGGTGATAAACATCAACATGAAGTGCGTAGGCAAATCGAAGAAAATAATGCTCTCGCTACTGAGTGTAAGTCCCAAAACCTCTGTCGTTTGCTTAACAAACGCATAAAAAAGGACTCAGATCGAAAAATTCATTATATACTACATGATGGACAGACATATTATGACGAAGCTGTTATTTGCGAACTGTTTAGTACATGGTTCTCCCTCAGTCTGAACACATCTCCTACCCCCGATACTAACACTAACTGTAGCAGCATGCATAATCTTTGTACCATCAAATTTGATCTTAATAATATTCAAGCGGCAATTAGAACCCTTAAACCCAATGGCAGCTGTGGTGCGGATGAGATACCTTCCATACTTTTTAAAATGGCAGGACCGAACCTTACAGCGCTCTTGCTTAAAATTTTTACCTTATCCCTTGAGTCTGGTACATACCCCGAATCGTGGAAGTTGACTCATATTGTCCCAGTACATAAATCTGGACCGAAAGACTTAGTCCAAAACTACAGACCGATTAATATCACCCCAGTTATATCACGTGTAATGGAGAAAGTGATAAAAGATCAACTATCTGATCACTTACTCAGGGAAGGTCACATTGACCCCTCTCAACATGGCTTCATTAGAACTAGGTCATGCACCACATGTCTTTTAGATTTCTTTAATGAGGTTACCAGCATACGCGATCAAAAGCAACTAGTAATCGTGTTGTATTTTGATATCAAAAAGGCTTTCGATAAGGTACCTCACAGTCTTTTAATCAACAGACTTCAGTCCATCGGTATTAGTGGCCACCTGTTGCAATGGATTAGGTCGTTCCTCACAGATAGATATCAGATTACCAAAATCAACTCACATACATCTACACCTCGACCAATTACCAGTGGTGTTGTGCAGGGCAGTGTTTTGGGTCCACTACTTTTCATAATCTACATCAACAGCATATGCAGTTGTTTCAACACTGGTAAAACCTACCTCTATGCGGATGACCTAAAAGTGATTTATCAAACTAGCAAATCTGACTTAGGAAACTTGTTGCACACAATCCAGCACGAACTCAATACTGTAGATGTCTGGTGTAAGCAATGGAACCTTGAACTTAATACTGAGAAGTGTGGCTGGATGTGTTTCGGAGACATGTCTCCCAAATTAGATCTCATTCTCAACAGGAATGTATTGTCCAAACTCACATCCGTAACTGATCTTGGAGTGCATTATTCGCACAACCTTAACTTCTCCGAACATATCTCCAATAAAGTTTCTCGAATGAGAAGAATGCTTGGTTTAATCTTTCGTAACTTCCTTCATAGAGAATCCAGAACAATTCTCTATAAAACATGCGTAAGACCTATTGCTGTGGTTCATGTTTCCAAAACAATGCTGAGGTCGCTATTCTGTCGAGACACCTGCAACATTCTTACTCAGGCGCTAACAGTATGACTTAGAGGTTGGCATTCAATAATAAAGAAAAAAAAACAGTTAGACAGTGCCAGATTTTATTCATTAAATTTTTATTTTTACAAACTCTACTCTTTCAACTAGAATTTCGTTTTCAACGTACATAAATCCAGCTTCTTACTTCGACTTCTCTTCTATCCACCTGACACTGCACAACTCTCCCTTCTTTTTGCTGTACTCCTTTATCTGTGGGTTATATTCTTATATTCCCATAATTTACTTTCATTTAAGTGGTCAGTATGAATTTTATCTTGACTTACTACTGTACTGACTACTTCAACATGACAGGTTAAGTAGTGCTTTGGTTATATATATACACTTGCCACACTGCTGCCTTTTTCTCTCTCTCTTTTCTCCTTTTCAGAACCCCATTCACGGTGGGAAATCCTTGGCTACTCTAGGGAACATGCACCGTAGGTACATGACTGTCTGGATCACAGCTCGTATAAAGTGCGTTCCATATGACCTTACCCAACAAATTCACTATTGATCTCGGCCAATCGCCAAAAGAACCTATTGTGCACCTTCCTTATTTGTACTCTACTATTGAAAATGTGGCTGTATAATACTGTTTCTGTCAGTGACATGGTGTAAATATGCAATCAGAAACTGACTCTTATACTTATTTTAACTGCTATAACTTTACAACTATTGTGAAAGCATTTGTGACAATTTGATCTAGCCTGTAAACTGGCGTGACTCTTGTAACGTAGTTATTTGAGAATAAATTATCATTATTATTATTATTACACTTCACTTAATCTCCCACTTCAAACGGTCTCCAGTTCTTTCTCTCCTGTTCTGACTTCTCCATGTCTGATATTTGTTTCTCTCTCACATTCCTGATCGCTTGTCTCCGCTCTGTTCTCAACCTTGTTGTATTCCATCTTTGTTCTTGCGGCCAGGTTTTATCATGCGTTGGTAGTCTCGGCCGTCTGCCATACATCAGCTGGAACTGTGACTTCCTGGTTGTTCCCTGTGCCGAGGCACGATGTACCAGCAAGATTAATGGTAATTCTTTCTCCCAGTCACCCCCTTTAGATGCTAGCCATTCCTTTAGCGTTCGGTTATTCCTTTCCTTTAATCCATTCGTCTGTGGATGATACGGCGTTGTTCGTACTCTCTTGATACCTAACTGTTT